AAGAAGAACAATAATCTTTTAATTCTTTGTTCTTCTTACCTTTATTTTCTTCTTTCTTCAATATTTGGTTTTTAATTTTTTATTGTCAATGGTGGCTTATCATCTTTTAGAATAGATGGTACTTTCTATACTTGCTATGCAATTCCTATAAGAATAGAGTTTGTCTTTTTTGAGCTAGACATATCTAACAATTCTTTTTTTTTAACAATAATCTAATATCATCAATTATTTTGGCATTTCCATTAAAAAATAATTTTTCTATATATTTTTCAAGGTCCTTATAATTATCAAAAGATATAATAAAATACTCAAGTATTTTTTTTGTATTCTATTATTTCTAAAGGTGTAATGGTTGTTTTTCTTTGCTCCTAATTATAATATCATCCATTCTAAGATACAATAGACTATGTGTTGCACTCTATAGCTATAAATATGAAGATACAAAGGACTTTGTAGGAAGCAAATATTGTTATTCTTTCATAGCAATAACTAATATTCATGCCAAACAATTCAAATCCATTATCTATCCAAATAACTTCCATTATTGATACTTAAAGATAAAATAATAAAGCAACTAAGTAATGCTATTAAAAAATCCTATGTCACACTCTCATTTATTTGTATTGGATTCTTCAATGATATATTTCACACCAAGTATATTCAAAATAGTATCTAGTCTATTTCTATAAAATTCATATAATTTAAAAAAAATCACAAATATAGAAAATACTTGCTATGGCTTTTTAACTATATTAACTACTACGTTGCTGTATAATAATATTATAATTGTATTTTATTAAAAAGAATCAAAGATATGAGCATATATAAAATAGAATTAGGAGTTGATTTTGATAAAAATTATAATTTAAAAAAATAAAGGATATAAGCATATATAGAAGGGAGTTAGGAGTTGATTTTGATAAAAATTACCTCAAGATGAAAAGAATTCAAAATTTAGAGAGGACCAATAGCTAATTGTGAGCCCAAGTTTCTCTACTTTGTGAAACTAGTGCTATACAATAAGTTTAAGAAGTAGAATGAAAAACTTCCAATTGTACAATTACTAAATTAATTCAAATGTAGGTGTTTGTAATTCAATATGAGTTATTGCCTTCCAAGAAATGGTTATCAATGTTAATTAATATTTTATTATTATTTTTTCTTTTATTATTATTATTTTTTTAAAATTAAATTAAATTAAATTATTTATTTATTGATTTTAACATGTATAAATACAAATTCTGATAATAATAATTTATTCATTTACTTTAATATATAAAATTTATCATGCATATAGAAGATAAAAAATAAAATAAAAATAAAAGTAGAACTGGAAGTAGAAGCAAAGTAAAAATGAAATAGAAATAGAAGTAAAAATGAAGTACAAGTTAAAAAATAAAAATAAAAGTAAAAATAAGAAATAAATTAAAATAAATTAAAAGTTGAAAGTTGGAAGTTAAAATTTGAGTTAAGATTTAGTCAAAATTCGAAAGATGAAGAGTAAAAAGAAAAAAAAAAAAAAAAGAAAAAAAAAAATAAGATAAAAATGGAAAGAACTAATCTCAACCGTGCTCTACTTGAAGGCAGCAGATCTCTTTCTACTCCAAAATTTTCCAAAACTTCGGATCAGCTCCAAATCTAATGATTCTTACTTAGTTGAGAACCTAACTTAAAGTTGCTCTTGTTCCAAAAATCTTCATAGCAATTCGATATTTGAGCCACGAGAAATGCCCCTTCAAAGTTGAGTAATTGGGACTGCTATAACAGCCTACCTCCTTTTACTTGGAAATTCACCAAAAATTCAAATCGGCTTCAATTTCTATGAAGTTAGTGCCTTTGAAAGCCCAGCTTATAAAACTTGTTTTTTTCAGAAATTCAAAATAATAAATTTGTAAGGCATTGAGGATTGCCTTTTCAAAATTAAGCAATCCAAACTACCAAAGCAGTTGATTCCCTCGCACTCAAAAATTCACCAAAAATTTGTTCTAAATCCCAAATCAAGCAAGTCTTAGCTTGGAAAGCTGAAAAAAAAAGGAATGTGCTAAAAAAAATTAAATTTCAAAAACATAAAAACCACAAACTGATTAAGGAAAATCTGGGGCCTTCCAAACCTCTTTAACTATTGAAGTGTTTGGAAACTACTAATTCCAATGGAGTGCCTTTTAAACCACAACGAGCACCATCCACACACAAAATCAATGCCTTCACATACTCACAAGATACACAATGAAATCTAGAATCCAAATGAGATTAATGTTAGGATTTGAGACCAAAATTTGGCATGGCTTTGCCTTTCATCCCAAATAAAAGAGAAAGCAAGAGCTTGGGCAACCAAACCTTCTTATACAAGTGAATTGAGGCTTATAGGAGGCAACCTTATTTCCACCCTCGATCTCCAAGATTCCTAATCTAAAACTACAACCTTCATTTATTTAAGAACTAATTTTGTTATCAAGACTGATAGGTATTGTAAGTAGTTAAAATATACTTTTTGATAAATCTAACTTCACCATTGTGTTTGAAACACCTTTTTATGCTAAGATCGACTACTCACATACCCTTATCGATGGTCATATGCAATTTTTATAAAAATATTTACCTCCAAAGATTTTAGCAGTTATTAAAAATTTCTTCAAAAATGACCTTCATGGCTCCACTTGTATTTTGATAGACAGGGTGCTGATCTTGTTTTCTTCACTCCATAGAATGTATCCTATGCTACCATTACGTTTGAAAGGTTTCCATTAATTAAAAAAAATCCCTTTGCTACTTTGATTTGTTGAATTTTGAGAAAAACTTCAAAACCACCATTACTAACTTTTATTAAAATCTTTAAAAAAATTATAATTCTAATTCCTTCTAAATCATATGAGATGATTGGAGGTGAATTCATAGGCTTACTATCAACTCTTATAGCAATGACAAACAACTTCTAAATTATTAAAAATAAATAAACTCTTATTTTAATTTTCTAAATTTTATCGCTTTGGACCTAATTAATCTAATTCAAGGAATTAAGCTAAGATTCGTATCATCAAAGGTTATAACCCTTAAAATTCTACAAAATTAGAATTTTCTTATATAAATCATAATCTAACTTTTTTAATTACCATAAAATAATAAATAAAAAAAAATTAATTAAATTGAGTTGTCAAGGTCATCTTTTAGCGAGTTCTATTTTTTCTTTCACACCGAGGTGTTTAATATATTCTCAAGCAGACTTCACATAATACAACAATGTAAGGTAGTTTATTATCCCACCTAATATTATAAGATCTTTGTTGACAATCCAAAATATCATATACAAAAAAATAAAATAGTTACTTAGTATAATCATAAATGGCCTATAAAATAATTATAGAGACCAAATTAATCCACCACTAGCAAGTCCTATGAACCTATGATCCTATCTTAAGTGTATCAATAGTAATTAATGGAGCTTGAGTAGTATAAATATGTTTGATACTCTTCAAATTCTTCTCTGTAGTCTTTGAAGGCACAATTATATTTTCAATGACATAACTTAGCTTGTTTATTTGTATAATCATACTTCTATATATACATATATATATATATATATATATATATATATATATATACTAAAATATTAAGATAATAAAAAATTATATATTTAAAAATATCTAATTTTATAACATAAAAAAAAGCTCAACTTTATTTGTAATGAGTGCATCTATTATTCAAATATATAAAAATAAGTAAAAACATATTAGATAGATAATATAAAGAAAATCCAAGGAAACTTCTTAAATGCAAAATAGATTTAGAAGTTATTTTAATTATGCCACATGGCCATAAAAACTTGTTTCAATCTTTTCTAATTTTAAGAAGTAACTAAGAAGTGACCTAGAACATTTGCACTTGAGTTGCAAGTCTTGTAATTCTTAGAAAGCTTATGCATGGTCTTTTTGTTAGTACAAATAGAGGCACAATTAAAACCATCTTGTGTTATCAAAACCTTTATTATAATTTAGTCCTGGATCAAGATTTATTTATTTATTTATTTTTCTCATTATGACTATTTTAGATTTATTCTAAAATACATTACTTATGAAAGTTCCATTTTATCTATATTCAGATATTTTTATATTAAATATTAAAATTATCTAAGATTTCTTATGAAAGTTTTAGTTTTTCTAATTTATAACAATTGAACATAAAATTCCTGTAGTTTCAATTATTAAGACTTTATTATGTTTTGTGTGCTACAACTCCTTAATGAATTTCTTTCTACTTTTAAAAGATATAATCTTTGAAAAAAATATTAATCATAGAAAACTTGTTTACTTAATCAAGATTTTAATCATTATAGTATTTCTTCATTTAAAAATCAAAGTTGTTGATTTAAAAAATAATTGCTTTATGAATCCTCATGACAATATTTCATATGTTTGTGTTGACCATTTTATTTTTCTTTTCTTGATTAAAAACAAAAATCCCGAATCTTGGATGACAAGGTGCTCAATCAAATGATGCCAGCTTTCGCATAGATTGATATGGTAAACTTCTCAAAGCACAGTCCCCAAATTAAAAAAAAAAAAAAAAAAAAAAAAAAAATCTGTATGAAATCATGTTCGCATTCTCGTCTGACAATTGTTTTGGAAGCTTATGATGCACAGTTTACAATATGACTCAATTGATCAAGATTGTCTAACACATGTAACAAATTGTTCAAAGTCATGGACAAAAGTGAAGGACGAATCCATAAATCCTCTACTGACAACTTGTAGATGTCTACAAACAAGTGCTGTGCAGAACATGAAAAAACTAATTCTAAGAATCTACACAATCTGTAAGAGAATCATCTAAATCTAAGTATTAACAAAAAGTAATGTTTATCAATGCAACATGAAAAAGCGAGTCTCTGCGCAGAAGCTGAATCCAGCCAAAGATAGAGCAAATGTGAGAAAAAAATACGTCTAACCTAGAAAGCTGTGGCCCATTTAACCAAATGTAGAGAAGTGTACCAAATCCCCATCAAGTAGGCACTCAACTTCCCCAGCGCACAACCTTCGATATATTACCAAAAACAAGGTGGTTGAAGAATCAACACGATAATTGCATGTAAATGTTGAGTCAGGAACCCTAGTACACATTTTCAAAAAAACTAAAATTTCGAAGTGTAGGTTTAATGCTGAAAGAAATAACATGTTGTAGCCTCCGCTATAGCAAACATAAAATTTTCTCTGGAGCAACTTGCCCTAATGACAAGCCCCAGATGCAAGGTTTTAAGCACACACTAAAACTACCGGTGTTCAGCTGACACCCACAAGACAGTAATGAGGAATTATAAAGTTCATTTCTTCTTGGTCCATAAGCACGCCACTGCGCCTACAACCACAATGACTGATAAACTTCCAGCAAGAGAGGTCCCCATTATAGATAACAAGGGCTTCTGTAACATGTGGCTGGCAGCGGCGGGGAGGCATCGTAATATAAATGGCGCCTTGCTGCTTCGGTCAAATTCATCCATGTTGAAGTCCTGTGAAATGCATTGGTTAATGATACAACATTAAGAGAATCATTCACTTCCCATGCGTTTATGTACATATAACATCATCAACATTGCTTGATTAGGATATTCCAGAAGCATGGAACGCTTTCATTACGGGAACAGCAAGCAGAATAGTCTTCAGTTCTGCATAAAGGGAGACCTAAGAACAACTTACAGAGGGAATCTGGCTGATAATTTTCAGGTGATTTAGATGCAACTTCACATTCATCAACGCGGCTGGCCAGTATGCAGGCGGTGTGTCTTGGTATGCTTGGGAAACCACCTGATACGCAGTCCTTGCACCTCTTTGAATGGCACAAAGCACCTTCGCTTCCCTTGCTTCCCGATGTCTGTGAACAATCTCAAAAGCAACAATACAGCCATTAGATTAAGAAAAAAATACATAATGACAATATTTTGGGAAACGTGTCACCAAACAGATGCAAACGAAAACAACTAAGAATTTTACCTGATGTAGTTTTGTAGCATGTGCAGTGGCCACAAGGTAGGATATCCGTGAGCTGGTATGATCACTTTTGGTGCGAGCTCAATGAACCGTTTGCAAGTCGTCAAGTAATCCTACACCAGACGCCTTCTATGTCAAACTCCTGCTTTAGTGTGGAAATTGAAGCTATCGTGTCAAGATCATCATTGAATTTCAACCAGCTGCACATGCTACACACATTTCAATGCTGCAAAAAAAATTCTAAATCCTAAAATGACATGCTAAACACAGAAAAAACGCAGACCTCCATGTTGCCGCCTGAATTAGAATCCAACACTGAACTTCCATGACTGCAGTCACATACAAAGAAAAGCACGATAATATATTGTTAGTGCATAAGGAGCATTATCATTACTTATCCATGGGAGCGCCTTTCTGGCAATCGAACTAAACCTTTTGCAATGAACCAAAACCGTTGAAGTCGAGTGACCACAATCCACTCCTAATTGATCAAGAATAACTACTTTCACCAAAATGAGCACAATCAACTTGAAATGAACTCTCTATTTCTATGCTGAAATAGATGTTATTGGACGCCATCCGGTCGAAATCCCATTCACCGACAGCGAAGACGTTTTATACGATTTTATCAGTTACCTCAAACACAATCTTTAACTAGTAGCAAATTTTTGCTCCAGTAGAAAAAAAATGATAACTAATTAATTATGAAAGCCCCACTGATCGCATGACGTATAAGTCATCGGGTTAAGTCACTCACCCAACACAATGGTCACCAACCAGGAGAGTGCCCGTAGCACGATGAAATAGGCCTAGATGTCCATCTGTGTGCCCCTGCCCAAAGCATCCAATAGACACTTGAAGCAATGACATTTTAATTTCAGGTAATTCGAACAATTCGGAATCATTGTGACATTCAAAATGGCGATAGTATATGCTATTCACAGTATCAGATAATTCACAGTTCAGAATGCAAGAGTTATGTCATTGTAGCGTAAAAGAACGACACTAGATATCATACTGGGGCAGAAATAATTTCAAGCTCCTGGCCAGAGATCACCAATTTGGAACCGCCATCCACAGCGATGCAGTCCAACCCGTAATCTGGTCGTCAACATGACATGATCAGAAAGGAAACTTCGTTACATACGTAATGCACAATATACATTCTGACGTAATATACAGTAAATAAATTTACCTTTTCCCATGCGTTGAAGTGTTTTCTCATGGGCAATAATAATAGCCCGAGGATTATTCTGTTTCACCGTCGGCAGGCCTGTATGTCAAACGCATAATACTTGACCTTAAGTGAAACACTTGAAAATGAATTTTGCATTACGCTAATGATCGTGCAGTCACGATCAATAAGATAAAACATAGCACTAGGCTAACAATAGCTGGTCCACACAGTGCTCTTCAGGTCCGATCTGATCCCGTCAAAGTTGGTAGCTTATTAGGGACCTGTCAACCACAAAGCACGTCCTATTCAAGTACGTACTGTTATTTCTTTTGACTTACATAACTCATGAGAGGATACAGTGTCCAAGGTCAGAGGCATACAGCACCCAAATATCTGTACATACAGTAACTGTAATATGATTAAAGGCTTGTAATTTAAGAATCTGACCTTCAACGTGATCATGATGATGATGCGTGACGAAGATCAAAAGCTTCTTCGGCAGCTCATTAACAATCTTAGCAAGCTGCTCTGCATCAACGGGGAAGAGCTTAGATATGGCACATAGAGTCTCACCTAATCTGCAATAAATATTTCAGTTAGAAAGTATACAAGCAGAATCGACTATATACCTGAGCATGTGCGGCGGAGGGATAGCATCCGGGATCGCAGATTAATGCATCACCACAGGCCACAGCCACAGTAGTGTCAACTGGATGATGCAAAGGAGCCGTTGGAGCCATCACCACTAAGTTGGTTTTGCTGAACGGGCTTAAAGTGGCTGAGTCCATTGGCGCAACGAACACACCGGGTGGATACTCCTGTAGCAAGAAGAGACCAAATTTTGCCAAAGATTACAGCAGATTCCTACAGTTTCTCACTCTGAAATAGTCGTCATTCGCCTTAACTACAATTCATCAAGTATTTGCCAAATCATCGGGGCAAAAGAAGGTACAAAAAATATCTTGTGGTATATTTTACTTGAAAAAAAGACGCCAACTTACTTGGCCGTGTATGCTAAGGTTGTACTTGAAGGACAAGCCTGAAGGAAAGTGCGATGAGAAGGCAAACATAGCCAGAGTTCCTATCCGCTTCTGTTTTGAGTCTGCATTCACCAGCATGCTGTATGCCATGTGTGGATCGATCCATTCCCCGTCCGCTGCAGTATCATCTCCCGAGACAACACACTATAAGCACAAACATTCTCTAAAAATGCTGCGACTGATATCCTGTAGATGATCAACGAATGTTTAAGTATTCCAAGGGTGGAAATTTTCAGTGGCATCTCCCATGCAAAACCTAGCGAAAATTTTGGGAGATAAGAGCATGAAGAAGAGAGGTTGGACGAGTAGGATCGACAACGGCAATCACCTGCGAAGCAAGCTTCGTCTGTGAATGTCTCAGTTAAAAAAACAATTGTGTGTATAGGTGGATTCGGCCCAAATTCAGGCTCCTCGATATACTTCCAATAGCGCCATGATTTGCAAGGGCCGCCTGTTGGAAAAATACGTGCTTGGATCTGCAACATTCTCAATTAATGTACCTGCAATTATAGCCTAATTGCTTTTGCTGTAGTGGATATGATCTCCTTGGGTTGGATTAGAAACAACAAGTACTTAGCAGTGAAGGAACAAAATTTAATGAGGAAAACGAGATGAAATAAGGACGGAGTACCTGAGCAACCGCAGCACAGACGTCAAATCCCTTTAGACCAAGACATTCGAGGTTGTATGTGACGTTGCTGATAGCCTTGAATAGCCTGGGATCGTCATTATGAGGAGGGTGCTTGCCACGGAGTAAAGACGCCAAGGGAGTGGAAGGCAGATCCCAGACGTCGACATCCAGGAGCGGATGGGGAGGAGAAGCAGAAGGAGGAGAGGGTTGGCGGGTGAGGAAAAGTTGGAAGAGTTCAGACGGCTGAGCATCCTTGACGAGGAGCGCAAGGCGAAAGTGCGTTGGGGCAGAGGCCATGGGAGAGGGAGGATGACTGAAGGAAGGAGGAGAGAAGAGAATAGAGAAGGGCAGTTGGAGTGGGGCTGCTGCAGCAACACCAAAAGCGGGAAGAGGAGGAAAAATACCAACGACGACAGACATACAGACAGACGGACACAGAGAGAGAGCGAGAGCGAGAGAGAGATGGCGACGCAAGAGAATTACGATGGTCCTGTTATGAAACGATTCCCGAAGCAGCAGGACAAGTA